ATAGTATATTTGCTCTATTTTTGTCTTCTTAAAATTACTTTAGCTTTTAACTAGCATTTTGCTACTTTTTGTTTTAAGCTAGTATTTTTCTCCTTTCAATTTTTTCTAGCGTTCTGCTTCATTTAGCTTTTTAGTGTCTGTTTTTATAAGAAATTTCAGCAAAGTCATCAGCATTCGAACTTTTTTTTTTTTTCACAGAAAATGTCTTTTCTCTACTTTGAGTTTCATGTGATCTGAGAAGAATCTGGCCGGATCATGTCATGTTATATGAAAAATCACTTGAACGTGGTACACCTTTCTTTGTGACAAACTTGATGGAGGTATTATTGAGAAGTGAAAACCAAAACATGACTGARYAATTAACTTTGGGTCATTTTTAACKGGCTACATGAGAAATTTTAAAGATTTGGGTTATATTTTTGTAAGAGCTGACACATTAGATTACCCTTTCACTTTATGTTGGTGCATCTACCCATCTGTTTAGAGCAGCAGTTCTCAGTGATTGACTGAACCGCTTGATGAATCAGCAAAAAAAACTGTTAAAAAATGTCTTGACTGTAGAACAATTTACAAGTTTTGTGAGCTAGCTCAAATCTRTTCCTTCCCAAACGTCTTCCTCAGAACTGACAGATGGGCAGATCTTCAGTTTGATTTATTTTTTACTCATAAAGCAGGATTGATGGTTTTYACCCAGAAGCCATCTGCTTCTCAGTATCGCACATCAGTTATTTGTTTTCTGTTGGTGATTGTAATTTATTTGTGCCAATTTATAGCTTGATGTTTCTTTTTCCTTTTACTATGTGTGAGAGAAACAATGACCTTGTGAAGTTTTTTTAAAACTCATTATCTCTTTCTGTTTCATTTTTCTTCGAGTTATTTTCCCATATTATCGCACRACTCAAAGTATTTTTGTACTTTGTCCTCAGAGGGAGAGAATTTTCCTTGCGGTGTCTCTCAAATGGCATAAACCTTCATAAATCCAGAGAAATGTGAGAATAACACACTTATCCTAACCTCTTCTCTGGATTTCAGCGACTCACCTTCAGTTCTCGTTGCAATAAAAAGGGATTTCATTTCAAAGGCTCCACACACACACACACCCACACGCACACACACACACACACACACACATCAAATGTCGCTAACACGAGGTCCCGCTCAGATAAACTCAACACTCTTGTTTGTCTCTGTGTTTCGTCTTGTTTTCCAGCCTGTGACATGAACGTGCACAAGCAGTGTGTGGTCAACGTGCCGAGCCTGTGCGGGACGGACCACACAGAGCGCCGGGGACGGATCTTCCTCAAGATCGAGGTCAGCGGGGACCGGCTACACATCACAGGTTGGTTTTAATCTCTACCTGTGAAAAAAAGTCCACCCGCATCAATCTGCTCGGTCCCAGGGTGACGTTAGCAAGCAGATCCCAGATGGGACCTGTAAGAGTCTTTTTCTTCTTTTTCTCCTTTTTATAGCAATAGCTTATAGACTGGTCATGGCTGTGGTTACAACATATTTATTAAAAACACTGACCCACTCATGCTCACAGAATCATAAAAGTCAATCAGACATGTGCTGTGGACCTGTCGCGATGAGCAATAAATCATTTAATAACTATTTTATTRGTTTTTGTGTCAGTTAATATCTTTTTTTGTTTACCTAATCCTAAGCTTTTTAAGGTTTATCATTACATAAGTTTAAATGGTTTCCACACAATCTTTTATTGTGATAATTTCTTAGGGTGTATTCACACCTGGCACATTTGMTACGCTTTAAACGAACCAGAGTTTGTTTTCCCCGTTGGTCCGGACCTTTTATGCAGGTGTGAATACACTCATGTGAACCCTGGTGTAGACCAAAAAACAGACCGAGACCCATTTTTGAGGTGGTCTCMGTCCARTTCCAAACAAACTCTGGTGCYGTTCGCTTCTGGTGTGAATACAGACCAGCCTCGAACCAAACCAACTACAGYAAACATGCGCCCTTTTGGACTTCACGAGCKACRYTTGCTAAGTGTCATGGTAACTATTAGTCTTTTCAATTTTGCAAACACTACCACTGCGCTACAAAAAATGAGCCGCTGTGGGTCAGGGCAAAGGAGACGTCCTTTGGAATGCATTTGCTAACGCCTTCTCAAAATTAGAAGTATATCATCGCAAAACCATTGTTAGARGAGCTGCTCTTAAAATTCTAAATGGTATTGCAGTTTTAATAACAGCACCATCTTTCTTTCTGGGTCTGTGGTCTGTTTGGCCCCCATCATTTCTGTCCACTGGGAACAATGACTGTCACCTGCGTGGCTTTGTTTATAAATTATAGTCTGCTTGCAAAAAAGCATGTGGTTGCAAACTGCACCAAATGAAAAAAATAAAGTCCGCTTTTGGTCCAGACCAAACAAGTGGACCAAAGGACTTTCCTGGTGTGAATACACCYTTAGACGATTTATTGTCRAATAAAYTTTGTTATTGTGACAGACCTAGTGCTACATTCCTTTAATGATGTTACKTCACAAATCTTCCTCTGCAGATAATGAAAAGTCTATTTCTGGAGCACTCTTTGATATAATTTCTGACAGTATTATAGTTTTGTTCTTGACAAATCAAATCAMTGTTATTTTCTTGTCAGTCACAAGCACGTGGAGTTGGCCAGAACTCGGCTAGAGAACCGTATTTTAACATTTTATCTTTGTAATTTACCTGAGACCCTTTTTTGTCTGGTTGCTTTGGTAATGTGTACCCCCTTTGAAAGTAAAATACAGCAATTTCTTTCTAAGATCACAGTGGCTCACTTCATTTCTGCCTGATTCTGAGTTGTGGGTGGGTCTGCCTCTGCAGGCACGTTGCTAAAATGTCACAAATCTGCAGTCATAAACAGCCCATTTTGATCACGATAAAAACAGTTTTTAAGGGACAAAAAGGGTATCAAATAAGTGATCCTGGTGATAATCATAAACCTTTAATTTCCTAACAAACATTTGGAATGGACATGTAATCCTGAACCGTATAATTTGTTCTGGTATTTACAATGGACTCTTTTTGTCTCAGAACCAATAATAACTTCTCCTTTCACATTAGTCATGATACTTCACTCATCAGTTTACTGAGGCTTCATTCAGATGAGTTCCAGTTGTTTTTGGTTTAGAATCAGTGAGCTGTTGAAGCCTGACATGCAACCAAAGAAAAAAGGCAAACCTTTTGGACCTTGAACATTTGTAAACATTTATTATTCCAGGTTTGAATATAAACTGGTGCATKAATGAGTTCCAATCATTTGGTAACTCTGAATATGCTTGGACAGAGGGCAACACAAGTGAAAACGTGAACTCTGACTGAAACAAAACAAACATTTAAAAAATGAAGAACAAAATACTCTGAGCTTCTGCAAATGGAGCGAAACAAAAATCCTCCAGAGAAATATTCTGAGAAACTGAGTGGCTGAATGTCTTGTAGATTTAAAAAAAGTAGTTTTTGTCTATTTGCAACATGTTTTGTGAACCACAGGGCGTATTTTAATTTGGGGGCATCAAGTGGAAAAAAAAAAAYGAAAAAAAGTCACTAYCATATTTTCCATATTTAGCTCACTTTCTGAGTGTAAAATCCTAACTAAAAAAGTCCATTGCCATTTTCTTGTTATTTAGCTCACTGTTCTTAGATTTTGCAAATTAAAAAAGAGGTGTCAAACATGTTGTCTAAATTTTAAACCCTAAATCAAAATGTGTAAACCTAAATTTACAAATTATATCTTAAATATTAAAGCTAAATGTTGAATTTTACATTTAAGAATTTCAGAATGGAGCGCATCCTTTGCTGTTGGTGCTTTGCTTTTGCAGTAGCATAATCATCCTGAGACAAAAGCAACCACTAACGCTATTAACGCTGCTAATGCTGCTAGCGCTGCTTAAGATGGTGTTTAAAATTGAAATTCAAAATGTGTTCATTGAAAACAACATGGGTGGTACCTGTGGTCCAGCAGTTTGAAATGCAGCTCAGACACCAGCTGTAACTTCAAGTTTGAGTTCTTATAGGGAAGCGTTAGCAGAATTTGCAGTGTTAGCAGCTTTAGCGGTGTTAGCAGTTGCTATTGTCTCTGTATGATGATGTCATAACAAGAGCCAAGCACCAACAGCAAAAAGGCTGTGTTCCATAATGAAATACTTAAATGTAATTAAACTTCAACATTTGGATTTAACTTTTACAGTTAAATTTACACATTCAAATTTAGGATTTAATATTTGCGTGTATTATTTAACGTACAAATTTAGCATGTAGTAAAATTAGCAAAATGTAAGAAGTGTGAGCTAAATAATACAATATTTGTGAAAAATGAACTTTTACTCTCAGAAAATGAGCTATGTGTTAATGACTTTTTTTTTTCATTTACTTGGCGACTCATAATTTAAATAACTGTTTGGAAAGTAATCAACAGATATACATCTACAACTAAATGTTTGAAATCAACTTTAAGTTGACCAATAGCCAACACAAAAATGTCAAGAAATCAGTCTATTTTTCTGGTATTTTTACAGCTCACATAAGATTTCTGTTTAATACTTTGGCACTCAAAGCTACAAATAATGTGCATTCCTTTAAGAAATGCTAGAAATGTTTTCAGTAATATCATTTGGAGTCAATCATTATTTCCAACTGAGTCATTTTGCTTGTTACTGAAGGCCAAAAAAAACCACATTACTGTTCCATTAGAGAGCCAGAAGTTACTTGTGTAAAAAAGCATTTGATCGTGTTTAATGTATTACTGTTTACACATTTACATTGCATTTGTTTGAACGCAGTTTGTGTTTTATATATAGTACTTGTTTTTTGTCAGCGTGAAATCAACGTCAGGGGTGCCTTTATTGTCCGTGCGTTGCAAATGTCTGCTTGCATGTGTGCGTGTGTGTGTTTTCGACACCTCTAAATTATCCTGTCAGTCAAGAGCAACACCTGCAGTGGAGAACTCTCCAGTGTTAAAACCTCTTTGGCAGGGAGAAAAATGACTGCTGGTTCACTTCCACAACTTCTCTCTTCGTCACGTTCAGATACTCACACATTTCAGCTCGGCGGGACGGCCGTGGTATGGAGAAATTTATTTTCCCAGACCRCATACATAGTAGCTAACTCTGTTTGGACCAGAGAGGAACAAAGTTCAGACTGACAGATGGGATTACATTCATTAAAAATGTGCTAGTCGTTGGAAAAAAGGAGTTAGAAATGTGCTTTTCGGGTTATTTTTTTAGTGGGGTTTGTTATTTGCCATTCTGAAAACGACATCCAGCTCTTTGTGGCTTTGATCATGTGCAGCTCTCTGACAGATACACTTTGTGTCCTTGTCTGCACCCGTCTGCGGCTGGGGTTTGATGGTGACGAGGAGCAAACGAAGCAGACTATTAACTAGGATGATGACAGCAGTGGTCTTGTTGACATGGTTACCCCAGTCAAATTTGGTTGGAGCAGACACAAGTGAAAGTGAGCTGACTCTGGTTTGCAGTGAAGTCTTGTTAAACCGATCTGCTTCCTGTGTATTATAATCTTAGACAAAGCCAACTACTGACAGGCACGGTGCCACCGCTTGTATTGGTTACTTGTTGCCTTTGATCATTAAAAAAGCAGTTTTCATCACAGAGCACAAGGCGCAGTCGTGGAGAGGAGGGTGTCGTCTCTGCCTAATGTGGATGACGTGTTCTGTTGGCGTGTTCGGGCCAAGACCTTCAGCGTGCACTGAGGCGGATGAGATGGGAGTCATTTCCTCTAAGTCTGCGGTCACGGTTATGGTGTGCCATTTGTAAAGTTACACCGCCAAAAATTACCACCAATATTTTTGTTTTATTTAGCTTTTTATAAGAAAAAAAGAACAGATTTATTTTTCAAAGTCAGTTTTTCACCATATGATTCATACATTTATAAATGTCATAGTTTATAAACTAAATATTTAACTCGAATTAAATATTTAGTTTTGAGCTAAATATTTAGCTTGCAACTTAAATATTTAGCTAGCTACCTAAATATTTAGGTGGCTAGCTAAATATTTAACTTGCTACCTAAATATTTAACTTGCTGCCTAAATATTTAACTTGCTACCTAAATATTTAAGTTGCAACCTAAATATTTAGGTAGCTAAATATTTAAGTTGCAACCTAAATATTTAGCTCAAAACTAAATATTTAAGTCACAAGTTAAATATTTAGCTTGTGAACTAAATATTTAATTTGTAAGTTAAATATTTAGTTTATAAACTATGACATTTATTAATGCATGAATCATATGGTGCCAAACTGACTTTGAAAAATGAATCTGTTCTTTTTTTCTTGTAAAAGGCTAAATAAAACAAAAATATCGGTGGTAATTTTTG